ACTAAAGTTTCAGAAAAAACCCCAAATAAGGCAATTTGGTTTGGTTCAAGTTGGGTTTTCGTTACCTTTTTTTTCCATTTCGGAGCCTAACTATCCTGCTGTAAAGAATGCTGAGAAGTTCAGGGGGAAACTGATTCAGAGGACAAAGTTCTGTTTCATGTGAGGCCTGGCAGTGTGGCTGCTATGTAGGTGTCTGTGAAACAAACCTTATCAGGCTGCAGCTCACAGTATCGATTTATTGTCTAGTATCAGATAATAAACCCATCATGATTTACATTGCTTATAAATCATACTCAGGCAGCACTTCTGACTAATCTGTTCCATGACTATCAAAGACTCTTCTTCCCCCCCACCCCACCCAACACCTTTTTGTTTGTGCACTTAACACCATTACTAGTGTTTAACATCGCAAGGGAAAAATCAGTAATAGAAGGTTACAGCCCCGAGCTTTGGTTTTTTCAGGTCCCTTTGAATGTAACAAACCCCTGTAAACAGCCTGTACAAACGTTATTTTCAACAGACACAGGTAGGTTTTCAGACCTTTTCTGTGTTGAACTTGGAGGGAATTTTCTAAGTGGGAATAAGGTACAAAACCAAGAGCAGGATGTCATGCACAGGGCTCCATTTCTGAGTGTTTAAATGTATTTTTAGGTTTTAGAAGGTGTCCATGTTTGAATTAAAATTTGTGAGGCTTCCCCCTGAGCTGAAATAGAGGACAAAAACACTGTCACCAAAATATCCTGTAGCAAACACGTGGGTAATGAAAAAGGAGTTTAAGGTAATAAAGGCAACTCAGATTTTCCATCTGTGGAGTTGTTGGCTCAAGCAGGAAATTGTTCCAGCAATGTAGGAACAGCAGCTCCTTGTAACTACTGGTACAGTAAAGTATGGAAACATTCTTGTAAAAGGCATTGGTCATGTTGTTTTAAATTTTATTTTGAGTTCATGTTAATGCATCATCAATATCACCTAAATTCAGCTGTTAAACAACCGAAGTACTTTGTGTGTGGAGCAGGTTAGAATCTGAGTTACATTTTTGAAGCTGAGTGGTTTCAGTACATTAACCCCAAGCCATCTTATGCTGCTACATGTACTTCTTGTTTATCTTTCTTTCAGGTGAATAGGCTGTGTAAGATGCACAGGAGCACAAAACAGCCACAGCACAAAAACTGTTCTCTCTATTCTCCTGAGAACCAGCAAGCCTTTCATACCTGTGTAAGCCCATTTCTGGGTGTTCCTTAGAGAATTCCCTCTGCTTTGACCAACGTGATCTTTTTCTCATATATTAGTGAAAATGATGGGTTTTAATCTTCATTTGCTTCTGTATTCTGAAGGGTAAGAAGAGACAGAATGGTGGCTGAAAACAGGCTTTGAAGCTGCACTGAAAGAAGTAACTCAGTGACTTCCTCTTTTTGTGTTTGTCAGCCTTCCTCAGAGCCATAGCAGAGCATGTGAGTGTTTTGGAGGCAGGCAAACTTGGGACAGGATGCAAAGGAGTGAGTTGAAACTGCTCTTTCCATAGCTCCGAGGGACAGGCTCACGGATGGCAGGGGATGTCACCTACGCGGCCGTGGCGATGCTGCCCAGGGAAAGGCCACACGCTCCTTCAGGGACATCAAACCCAGGTAAAACCTCTTGGGCACACACTTTCTGCTGTCTTGAGCTCTTCTCTCTTCCTCTCTCACACGTTTTAAATTTGGTAAATCTAGAAGAATGCCATAAGATGCTGCATGGGAAGGGCAAGAAGTTGGAATAGTGGACGAGATCCTCATAGTACAAAACAGCCAAGCTGCTCCCAAAGCAGAACCACCAAGGAGCAGCAGCTCAGGTCTGGTCCCAAGCTTTAAGTAACAGAATTGGAAAGAAAAAGTGTTCATTGGTTGAGTAATGAGCATAATATTTCTTTTTAAATGAGTAACATGATCAAGACAATGCTCCACTGAATTACTAACTAGCCCACAAATCAGATCAATGTTTATCTTCATGGAAAAGGAGCAGTAAATTAACTAGTAAATCAGGGAAGTGCAGCCACTGTCACTGAAAGAAGTACTGAATGTCCCCTAAAAACTTCCTGCTCTTTCTCTTTAATTTTCCAGTGGTAATTTTCCAGAACCAAATTATCAATCTGTGATCACTTCATATTTTTGTAAAAAAACCCCAAAGGATAAAGCCAGTATTCAGGGTAAATTTTCTGAAGAAGTGACATTTCTACTACTCGGAGAAAAAAATGTAATTAGTTCATGAAAGCATTTGGACAAAATTCTGGATGACATCTAACATGAATGACAGCTTATTATGAGCAAATAGGAAATGCTTGTGGCATCAGACTAAGGGTGTTTTTATACTTTCATTAGTAATTATTGTATTTAATCCCTTAAGGAAACAACATTGTGTAATGAGCATTTTTAGATGTTCTACTTACAATGGAGATTAACAGTGATTATGGTGCTCTGAATACATGCACTTAAATTACAGAAAATAATACCTTTTATATATCTTTACAAGGTTGGTATCCAAAAGATAAAAATTAGTTCACTTTATTACATATATAGCAGAAAGACTACTTTAGACTCTGTGTTCATGCACCTATGGATGTTGTTTGCATTGCTGTAACCTGTGCAACACAAAGAGGGCCTGCCTGGAATTTCACCCAGTATCCAAAGTGATAAAACTTATTTGTGAAGGGAGACAGAGATCAAATCTTGATTAGAAGACATCCAAAACCATTCCTTGATCATGCTCCCTAAAGGAGAAGCTCAGTTTTGGACAGCTCAGTTCCAATGAAATTTATCTTTAACATGTGGATGGCTCTTAGTAAACTTTTGTTGAACTGATTTTAACTCTTGATATTTTCTCACATGAAGTTACTAGCAATGGTTGTTAAGTGACTTCTCAATGCCCTTTTCCCTTTAAACATTTAACTTCTCAAAAATGCTAATCATTTTTGTGGATGTTCTGTTCATACTCCAGTGCTTCCATCTCCTTTAAAACCAGGCACAAAGATCCACCCAGTACTTCTACAAGTCTTAGTTATTCTATCTCAAGTATACAGAGACAAAATCTCTTAACTAATCTTTTCTTCACTGTTTATAGCTCCCAGTCGCACCTTCCCCACTCTTATGTCCTATTATTCTCAAATACATTTGGTTTGATTTGGCTTGGATTACAGCTGGACTTCAGCTGCCACTCAGGGGCTCTGGATAATGAGGACAAATTTGGGGATTCTTGGCTGCTCTGGCAAAGTGTGCTGAGGAGGATTTAGCAATGGCACTATCTTTGCACAGGCTTTGCTAGGTGCAGATGCTGATACTGTGCATGTGCTTCAACCCGGGTGTTCAAAAGCAGAAAAGTGTTCCCAAATCCCAGCAAGGCTAAACACACGTTGGAATCCATTTCCCAGCTAAAGACTCTGGCAGTTTTTGTGTCCTGCTTCCCTCACAGATAATTTGAGAGTTGCCTGATTATGAATCCCGAGTGGCTACACAGAACTTTCCTTGGGAGAAGAACAAACCAAGGAGAGTTCAAGTCTATCACCAAACTAACCCACAAGCAATTGCAGCCTGCTATTGCTTGTGCCCTTAACTTCTTGTTCCCCTCCTTAACCTCCTGGGCTGCTCTGGGTGTTGACCAGGTCCACCTGGAGCCTCTAATAATGCCCACCAATAAACAGAGATGTTTTTCTGCACCTGACAACAAGCACAGGGAAGTGAATTTTCATTTTGAGTGGCCGGCAGAGATCTCGACCTTGTTGTTGAATTAGGTGAGGGTGTGGAAGCATCTGGCAGAATTAAAGTTATGTGGTGTTTTAAAACCTCCTGCTGACTTCTGAGGACTTTGCAGTCAAATAATCATACCAGCCTGTACACACTGTAATAGAAGGAATGATTTTGATTAAATATTCAGCTTGCATGGGTGAGTGTTTTTCTTACAGTCTTAGAGATATTCTTTGAAGGAATAAACATGCACTTGAGGGAGAAGTTATTTACTAATAGTAGCAGAATGTCTAAAATACTTATTTTAGAAGCACCTCCATTTACAGGGCTAGTGCATTTAGAAGTCCTGAGTGTTTTTGGAAAATTATTTACATTCTAAGAAGAAAAACTTTTAGAGCATTTGTTTTGAGAACAATTACATTCAATTTACAAACTTTCTGTAGTTCATTGAACTGATAAATTGAAAGAAAGAAAACAGCCAAGGTTAGAATTGGGTCAGATTCTCTAAAGCACAGGCTGTCTCCCCGATATGAATAACCTTATTTGCAATCAGGTTCTCAGTGGGCTTTTTTTTTACTGTAAAACCTCTCCACACTTGAGCAATTCTCATATGAAATGCTGGCTCATTTTAACCTAATGAGACTCTCTTCTTCTGCCAAGTTTTTTGCCTGATCAGTGAAATTTAATACAACACTTCTTTGTAAAAGCCCCAGTGATCACAAAATAGAGTGGTAGCACAGAAGCTTATTCTTTACACAAATGGATAAAAATCTCTCAATTTATGGAGCCAAAAGCAGTATCCCAAATGTCCAAATACCTTCCATAATACTAACCAGTTGCTCTGCAAAATACCCAGGTAAATTATATTGAAAACATCTTCAGAAAGAATCCATGTGCCTTGAACCCACACGGTGAGATTTTAATGCCATTTTTAGTTTTGTTTCGGCAACATGCTTTTGGAAAAGCGTGTCTTCGACCAGCAGATCCATTCCTCTGTCACTACAGGCAGCACCTGAAATATCCTGGGATAAGCACTCACAAGTCAGGAATGCCCTCAGGAATGACCTTGCTGCAGCAGCATCTCTCTGAGTGCTGGTTTTCATCTGGCACATCTCTGCCCCACAAAGCAGTCGCGGTCTGGTGCCCCTCCAGCCCCTGTGGTACCTCCTGAGATGGCTTAGCCACAGCTGGGATGCTTGCCATGGATAGGATCCAGCTCCTTCCCATCCTTCAGCCTGTTTGCCTGGCTCCTGCTCCAGCCACACAGCACCCAACAGTTCAAAGCTTATGGAGGAGGTGGTAAATCATCATCTTCTGATGATCATCTGCTGACAGCAGGAGGAAGTGGTAAATCATCATCTTGCCTAGGAAAAGGAAAATGCTGAACAAGCAGCCCTGGAAACACACCCCCCTGCTCACAGAGGCTCCGCCTTTATTGTTCCTGCACTTGGTGACTGGCACAGGCACAAATGTCAGCGCTGCCCTCTGTTTACAGGAAACACCATCACATATGCCGAGCTGCATGTGAAGCCCCAGCCCCAAGGGAACAGCAGAACAGAGACTTCCACTCCTGGTATTGTGCAATTTTGTTTGGTTACTAATTCTAGATGCAGTTTTTCCTATTGCCCACCAATGAAAGCTGTTATCAAGAGCTTTTATGTACGCTCTCTCAATGAAGGTCTGATTTATAATTTCATCTGCTGCTTTTCTTCCTGGCTTCTCAGATTTTACATTTTTCCTTTCAAAAATAATACTGAGAGATGTTTTTTTTAAAAATAATTTCTAAAAATGCCTTTGTGCCCTGCGTGGGAAAATGTAGTAAAGCAAAGTAAAATTCCAGGTTTTTTTTAGAATCCTCATGGGGGGGGAAGAGTCCCAGGGATGCATTTGGCTTTGGAAGCAGGGTAATGCCCAGGTCTCCATGTGCCATTACTGTCTGGTGATTGTCACCCTCCCTGTACTGAAGGAGCTGCCTGCCAGGCAACGGGAACATCACACCAGACAGGTCAGGCAGCCAGAGGATGGAGCAGTTGCTCATCTCACGCAGACAAGGTCAGGGAAACAGAGGTTATAACAGTGCAAATCTGTGCTTCGTGGAACTGGCACCTTAATCCCAAATTTCCTCGGGTTCTGCAGCTTCCTGAGTGTTTCCCTCTGACACAAGATGAATGTCAAACAGCTGGAGGGATGCTTGGTTTGATGCACTTCCCCGTGCTGTGCCAGGGGGTGTCAGTATGGGGCTTTTCTTCCTGTGCCTTTAGGGAAGTTATCTTTGTGCTACAGGGCAGGAACAGTAACGCCTGGGAGCAGAGAGGAGGAACACCCCACAGCCCATCCCTGACACCTCAGGCCATCCTTGATACTTACCCTGAATTGCTCTGCAAGGTCCTACAGGGTGTGTGTGGGTAGGTGAGAGGAGGCAATGCTTGAGAAAAATAAGTCAAAAGAGAAAAGGGCAAATCCTTAATCACTTGCTCTGTGACCAAACATTTTGATTCCACTTCCATGGATGCAAAATGGATGCAGATTTTTGATAAGTGAAATACCGCTCCATCCTCCTAACAGCAGACTGATTTTAGGCAGATGATTTCTCTGTTGTTTCCCCAGTGTTAAGCTTAAGAGTGCCAGCACCTTAAGCTGCTCTTCCTCCTGCCTCCCTGCAGGCTGCCAGCACAGGTGCTCAGCCTGGTTCTACGTGGCGCTGGTCCTGGCAGTCCTCGTGCTCATCCTCCTGGGAGTTGTGGCCATACAAGCCAAGCAGTGTGAGTAGATCCCACCTCCTGCTTCACCCCTTCATTGTAGACACGGTTAAACCTCTGAAAGAGCTGAGAGAAGAATTCCCTTAGCGTTGCACTGAAAGGTGTCAACTTGTACACAAATACAGGAAATGAGAGGCTATTGACAGGGGCCTGGAGTGACAGGACAAGGGGGAATGGCTTCACTTACAGAGAGAATGTTTAGATTGTATATTGGGAAACAATTCTTCAATGTGAGGGTGGTGAGGTCCTGGCACAGGTTGCCCAGAGGAGCTGTGGCTGCTCCATCCCTGGAAGTAGATGGGGCTCTGAGAAACCTGGGATAGTGGAAGGTGTCCCTGCCCATGGCAGGAAGGTTTTGGAGTGAAATTAAAGTCTTTCAAAGCCAGTCCATTCCATGAACATCTTCCCAGGAGGGCTTTCCTAACTGTGCTTTACTCACTGAGTTTGCTCATAACTGTGTCAGTACCAGGCAATGTACACAGAGACATCCTCACATTCACAGTACAGCTCTGGGTATAAAGACTGCGTTTCCTCATCCTTGTTGTTAACCATGACTTCTTTCTCTTTTTTTTTTTTTTTTTTTTTTTTTTTTTTTTTTTTTTTTTTTTTTTTTTTTTTTTTTTTTTTTTTTTTTTTTTACTTTGGGCTGTTCAAGTTTTGAAGGGCAGAGCAGGAAAATCAGCAAGCTTGCCCCAGTATGGTCTGAACAGCACCAGCAGTGACATTTCTTCAGAGAGGACTGTCTCAGCAGTGCTCCTGAAACAGCTCAAGGAGGAGCTGTGTGAAGATGGACAGGGTGAGGCAAGTTAGTCCTTTCCAGCATAGAGGATGTGTGGTGCACACTGTTCTGTTGTCTCTGTTCCCATTTCTCTGACACACTGCAGTTTATAGGAACTCAGGAAGCATGGTGCTCCTGCAGAGCAGTGATAACAAAATCTAAACTAACATTTTAATCACCATAGTCTTGCTCCTCTGTTGATATAAAGTTTCCAGTATTTTCATTACATTTCTGTCTGCCAGGAGCTGCTGTCAGAAATGCCACATATCCTCCTCTTGTCCTGGAGAATACTTTGCTCATAAACAGGGGGAGGAATTCCATCCATTGCAGGAGCTAAATGTTCCCCCCTGTCCACCCCCAGGCACGACATGTGAGCTGTGTCCCCCCGGGTGGCAGCTGCACAGGGGCAGATGTTATTTCTTCTCCGAGGAGGCTAGGAGCTGGGAGGACAGCCAGAAACACTGCCTGGCCAGGAAATCCCAGCTGCTTGTCATTGAGGATGAAATTGAGATGGTGAGTCTTGCAGCAGCCCTAAAAGCATGTGCCTGGCCTCAACCAAACATTTCTCCCAAGAGGAAATAGCCTGGATGTCAAGAGTACATGTAGACAAGCAAGGGCCCCATCAGGGAAAGGATCTGAGTCTCCCTGCACAGGAGCTGGGTTTGGGAATGTCAGCAGAGCAGAGCTGAAGAGGACAAGCACAAGAGGTGCCAAGTGTGGAAGCCAGAGCAGTTTTGACTGGGAAGAGGAAATGCTGAGGACTTTGCACTGCTTGGCTCTGGGAAGAGAGGAAGCTGGTCATGTGTGGGAGCTGATGTAAGGGGCTGCTCTGCCATGGCTGCATCCCTGCCCTTGCTCTTCAAGAGGAAATAAAAGCTGTGCGTGAGGCAGGAGCATGACCTGGGCACAGCAGGAAAGCTCTTCTGTCAGGTAACATCCTTCTAATCATTCCACAGGAATTTATAGACAACAAAGACAAAGATACCAAATATATCTGGATTGGCTCGGACACCAAAGATGTGGAGAAAACGTGGAGTTCAGTGCAAGATCACAGAGTAAAAGAAAGCAGGTGATGATTTTTTTGGGGAAGATATCTTTGGGAAAAGCACAGTGTGGTATCCCTGCTTGGAAATACAACTCTGAATCTGAGCTAATTAGCCAAAGCATATATCTAAGCCTGCAGCCTCAGGTATGTATTCAGAGTCTATTTCATGGCCAGTTTCAGGCCAACAGGTTCCTGCTGGGCACTTTTGGGAACCGATTTCTGCCTCCAGGACCAACCACAGGCACAGCTCATATATTTATTAATACAGAGATACTATTACACACTTCTGCTGAAATCCCTACCAAGAAACTCTCTGCCTTTGCAGACCATGTGCTGCCTGCCTCTGTTGAAGGTGATGCCTGTCACCACTTAGCATTGGCTGGGATCTGTGCAGTTTTCTTCAGCATGGGGAAGATCCTTATCCTGGTAACACTGATAATGCCAAGCATCCATCCCTCAGAAGCCAGCAGTCCCTGCTGGGGGTGCCCAGCCCACAGCTGCTGTGCTTCAAGGGGGTGGTCAAGTGGGCATCATTCACCCTTCTCACTCAGAGCACCACCAGGATTTTTAAGCAGTGCTGAGTTTAAACCCAGCAACCCATTGCATTCCTTTTGGTCTCTCAGCAGGACAGCTCTAAAAAGCATTGAGGCTGACAAGAACTGTGCTGTTTACAGAAGGAAAAATGTGATCCAGGCAGATAACTGCCAGACCTTAAAGGAGTGGATCTGTAAGAAGAATGCAACTTTGCTGGTGCTCTGAGCCACATTTCCAGACAACAGGGACAGCTTCTCCTCAGAAGACCCATTTTACAGACAAACCAGCTTGTGATGTAAATAATTTTCATCAGACTTGCAGGGAAATTTGCACTTTGCTGTGCTGTGCTCCCTAAGAAGTCAGAAGACAGGTCCTGCAACAGGCCTGCAAGCTGGCACATGAGGATTTTGGGGTGCTGAGCCTTCACACAGAGAGATTTTGGCAGCAGCTGCCTCAGGAAGGGTCAGAGGAGAAGAGATACTGGTGAGGAGGAGCACTGTGCATGTAAACAGTTGATGTAGAGGAATTATGGTCCCTGTGGGGGATGAAGGCTGTGCTGGGCTCTCTGCTGTCACCCCTGCCCACAGGAAGCTGCTGAGCTGAGGATTCTTATTTGGGTTTCAAATTTTAGTGTTTGCTGAAGTTTGTGGGCTTGGGGTTTCGTGTTTTTTTTTTTTTCCTTGGGGTCTAATGGTGACGCACAGAAATCACCTGAGAGCTGGAAAAAAATGCATTTATTGGACTTCTTCAAAGCTGCTGCAAAGCTACTGGGTGTAGACAGCAGACTAGGCATGGAGTGACTTGTAACACTTGTGGTTAATGTGCTGATTGCTCCCATCCTCTTCTGATGCTGAGCCTTGGAATCAGAAGGGATTAACTAGGGAAGGGGCTTGGGCTGTAAGACAAACATGGCATTGCAAGGAAATAAAGTTTATAAGCTTCCTCTCCACCTATATTTTGTCCTTTACATTTTAAATTCCAACCACGGTTATGGTATAATGAAGTGTCAAAGCCAAAGACTGGTGAAATTTATGCCTGGGAGTGCACTCAGTAAATGCATTACTTAGACATTGAAGTGTCTGAATAAATGCTGTTTCTGGGTCTAGAGCACAAAGCTGCTAAGAGCAGTCTGACCTAGTGCCTCTATTAGATTCCCATATTTGACAAAAATGAAATGTCATGAATTGATGGTGCTATTGTAACAAAAATGGCACTTTTAACTTTTCCACTTAAACTGGAATTTAAGTCCTTATGGCAATGAGAAACAGAAACAAGCCTAACATGGCTTTTGAGATGGTGAGCCTTTATCTCATCTTTGCTATGATGCACACAAATAAAGGCAGCTGCAGTTTCACAGAGATGTTTCTTCATACCTGCACATGCCTGGGGAGGGTTAATGTCCAGCATTTCAGGGCTGCAGATTAAAAAGTGAACTGCACCCTCAGGGACTTCCCTTCAAACAACAACAAATTTGCCACGCAAAATGCAGCATCAGCAGCTCAAAACCCATGAGAAACTGCTGTTATGTAAGAGGAAACAACAAAAATCCCCCAAACTCAGCACAGCACGTGGGAGGAAGAGGATTGGTTTGCTTATTCTAGACAGAGAAGCAAAGAAAAGGAAAGAGTCTGAAGAGTCAATCTATACCTATATAATACATGCTTTGCAGAGAGAGAATTTCTGACTGCTGAGAAATTTTCACTTCAGGGTACTCACAGCACACCCTTCTCCATGCAGTTAACATTTGCTGCTTTTCTGGCAGATCCTTCTTGATTCATGCTGAACTTAACAAGAAAAACAAACCCCTGCATGCTGGCTTCTCTCAAATTAGTTGTGGTGTTAAGGTTTTAACAGTATTCATGAAATATCTATGATTTGGGCCCTCTTGCTATTATTAATGTAATTAAACAACTTTCTGCAGGGCCTTACTGAAGTACTTACCTACAATTTAAGCAGTCACTTATTTAAAAGAAAAAAGAAATTACCATTGAAGTACTTCATCAAACTCCACTCTGAGTAAAGCAAGTTGGAAGAGTTTGCATCTTCTTTTCTGAACATCACCAAAGAAGTTCATTGCATCCCTGAGGAGTCAGATTCCAGAAGAGCTTTCATTTTTTAACCTTTGTTAAAAGTCTGACTCATTATGAGGTATTAAAAAGGGCAAAACAATCTTTTTTTGGATCAAATATTCTGTTTCATGTCAGCCCCAACATTATGATTAAAGATTTTTTCGTGTTCAAAACCTGTATATTTTACTTCGCTTCAAATTTATTTTTTTTCACCAAAATGGTGCCTAAGATGAAAAATACTCTTAATATTCCAATATTAAGATAGAAACCACTGTAATTCAGGGGCTCTGTAAACTATTTTTTCAGGACTATTGCACATACCATATCCTTCAGAATCAGGTTAATTTAAAAACATTGCAGAATAACACCTTCCTCCCAACATATAAATTAATAGATAATCAGGCTTTTCATACTGTAGAGTCCTGTTACTGTGTCTATAAAGAATACAAGCAATTAAGAAAAGTGTAATCCGGCAAAATTAGTGATTATATTTAAATAAACATCTGAAAGGCACAAGTTGCTGGCAGCATCCATCTGTATGGTCCTGCTACAGTTAAGTCCTGTCACAGAAAATAATGAAAGTGAACTTCCCATTCTTCCTTCTCTAGAAGCTTGATAGTTATATTCCTTCCAGGCAAATTTGCTTTCTCTGGGTCAAATGACACTTTAAATCTTTGGACAACCTGCTAGACATGCGTGGGATTCAGACAGAGGGACTGTGCCCTAATTCTGTTCAGGCTCCCAGCAACCCAAGAGCACTGGAGCTGCTGCTGAAAATGTCACCTACACAAGGAAACACTGACTGTCCATCTGGAAATGTCCCCTTGCTGAGAAGCCTCACACCATGACAGGCACAGGGCATGAGGAAAACACAGAAAAACATCCCTTGCTGCTAATTCTCTCATTCCCTTCTGATTTTCCCTCCTTGCACTGAGGACTATTTCTACATTTACACATTAATGCCTGCAGCTTCACTATCACTCTTCCAGTTCCAGCTCTTCTCTCTACCATCAGTGCAGATGCTCAGGTAAATAAATATTCTTATCTACTGTGACTTTTTTTTGACTAAAGAAAGTGTTGTGAGGATAACTTCAGGTGCAGTGCAGCTACATAAATCAGCTTGACAGCATTATCACTGGGATTTAACAAAATTAATGTAACATAACATAAACAAAACATGGAATACAACGCAAGGTACATCCCATCAAATGGGAAGAGAGGAATTTCCTGTGGTCCTGTCTAAAACAACAGTGTTCACTTCTGCATTGCCCTGTATCCATGACGCACTGGCAGCCCTCCAGGCAGACAACACTTCAACACCCATACACAGAACCTGGCAAAAGGAAAAGCAGAACAAAAACCTCCAACTGCACACCCAAAAGGGAAAGAAAGAGCAGCTGCTCCTACAAAAGAAGAGTAAATGGAAGAAATACTGATGGCACACAAAAAGAAACTACAGCTGGGAAGTAGCTGGAAAAATGGAGCAAGGAAATGACTTATCAAGATGCTGAAGACAGCCTTTTAGATGGTATCTTTAAAGCCTTCCTCCATGGGTGGAGAATTCTGGCTACCATAAAAGTCATTCACCTCTAGGTAGGAGATGGGACACATTCCCAGGTCCCAAAGTGTAAAAATAGCCCGTGTAGGCATCATATCAGAGCTCTGTCGGGGTGGTGGCTTTGTCCACCTTTATTGTGCTGAGTTGATATCCAAGCTACAGACCCATTTCCTGGTTAAATAACATCCTGAGGCTGAGACTCCTTTGGAATCCAGATAGGCACAGCTGCCAGAGTCTTTTACTTCAAACCTGTCAGGGAGAAGGGAAGACAGGATTACTAGGACACCCAGAATCAAATATTGCAATAGAGCAAAGGCAGCTACGGGCATCTCAGGTTCTCTTTGAATAAAGCCTGATTTATCTCAGGCAAGGCACCACAGAAGGATTATGTTTTGTGCCTTGAAGAGAACACCATTGAGATTGTATTTTCTTAATGGTATCTTGTGCCCAGAATAAAAATCCAGGACTTGCAGTACTCCTGCATCCTGTTTAGTGGTCACTTAATGTGAAATACATCCTTAGAATGGAGACTGAAATTCAGGGATGTTGTGCCATCAAGATGGGCACCACCACCTTGCACTTCCACATCCTCCTATCCAGAGAAAAGGTTCCAGCAAAAGCTGTGAAGGAAATGCATCTCTAATTTCTCCCTTCCTCAGAACCCAACAGGCACCATGGTTAAGGGGGTGGGGAGAAACAAGAAGCAAACCTCAGTTTCCACAGTGTAGGTGTCCCTACATAAGAGGTAAGGGATTCCTTCAGCAACTCTGTTCTCAAACAAAGTGCTATAAAGTTCTGTGGATAGTCCAAGCACACTGGAATGGTCTCTGGAAAAGCCAAGGGATACCCCACCAGTGTAGTATCACCTGAGCTTGCGTATCGAGGTGTTTGCCCTCCCCTTCAGGAGGGGCAGTTTGAGGCAAGTGGTGAGGCAGAAGTCTAAGAATGGGAAGAACCTCACTGAAAATGAAAGCAACAGTGGATATTTGTACTGCAGATGGGATAAAAGAGTGGGAAGGACTGCAGTTTTCAATTTGAGGTGCCCACGTGCTCCTCACATCTCACATTAAATGCCTTTGTCAGATGAAGCCTTCAGGGCCTGGGGATGAAGTGAATCACCAGTAATGTCACAGACTTAAAAGTATTTAAATTTTCCATTTTTTAGAGGTAATTTCAGACTTGTGAAATCTCATTGCTTATGCCTATCAGTGGTAATTCTGCCAACTCCTGCCAGCAGCTGCTCCAGGATGAGCTGCAGCAGCCTCTGAGGAAATGGGACAGCTGCCAGGGAGAGGAACAAAGTGCCCCACACCTGGCACTGGTGGCACAGAACACCAGGCCCTGGCCACAGAGCAGCCCATGCAACATAAATTCACATCTTCCTTTCCCTCCAGCAGCCTCTTTCTGAGGAGCATTCTATAAAAATGAAAACATGTTTTAGCAGTCTCCCACATCTCTTTGCTATAAACCTCACACAGCTTACATGCAAGTTTGTATTATTGCAAAGTATATTCTATAATGAGGAATTCATGTTACTGTAACCTTCCCTTCCTCCCCCCATTCCCTTCTGCCCATTGCTTTTTTGCCTCTTGGTTTTGCTTTCTCTGATGTCTGTTACCATGAGCCTGCCTGGTGTTGCTTCTCAACATTACAAACTTATCCCCCAACTTTCATCTGCCACAGTTTTAACAATGCCATGTGAAATCTTAATTGCATTCCATAACCCTCTCCATAATAATTCCTTCAACATAATAACAGAGATTTCCTACAAGTCACTATTTCTGTTTTATTTTTCTTACTCCCCTATAATTGAATATCACCAACAAAACCCCTCCACATCAACTTACAGTTCATTGTCTAATGCTTTTCCATTTACCCAAAAGAACTCTTCATTTCTTTTATAGAGTCCAATCCATGGGTCTTGCTTTGTTATCTTGATCATAAAGCTCTGTAGGAATAAACCCACATGAGAAAAGAAGTTCTGCATGTTCAGTCCAGCTATCAAAATACAAAGTCTTTGATCCAGGGCAAAAGCAAAACAACCATCTAGCCTTTCCTGCAGAAGAAAGAATATTAAATCTAAATATACAGAGACTGCTGACTGGGATAGGGTTGACCAACCTATAGAGAGGATATTCTAAAATATCAAGGTCTGCTATCAAGGTCTGGAACAGATCCAGAATAGATTCTCCTAGGCCTTTGTGCAGGGTGTAATCTCTCCTAATACTGTGGTATAATAGAAAAGAAAATGCTCCAAGCTGCACTTTGGGTAACTATCTCCTAACTCCAAAGGTCACAATTAACGTATTTGCCAACTTCTGCATCATCAACCTATCTCAATATGAGAAACCAGTTGTTTAATTAAAGATAAACAGATAGAGATGCAACAGTGTTTACCTGGATAAATGCCTTCAATATGACTATTTATAGCTGTGAGCAGCACCAAATTTAATTCACACATTCTCTAAACCATGAACTGTGTAACTGATGTTTCCTGTTTTCCGGGAAAAGAGCCACAAAGTCTTCTGCAGGCTGTGACTCGTTGTGGTCTTGCATCAGCTTCCTAACTGTTCAGCTGAGGAGGCTGGAGAAGCAGTTCCCTAGAAGTGAAGAAGTGAACTGGGGGGAAAACAGGATCCCCCTTGGTTCCCTTACCAGCTCCTGATGATTTTCGATGACCAGCAAGGAAGCATTGTGGGAAGAGCAGCTGCTCTGGCTGAAGTTCCAGGCAGCTTCACTCTCTGAGAGGTAGTAACACTTCCTCTGGAAGTACAGCCAGCCTGATGGACACAGGTCCAGGGAAGGACACACAGGAAACTCTTTGGCCAGAGAAGGCTTTACTGGGAAAAGATAAAAAACAATCTACCCATTTCTTCCAGCTGGGAAAGGATTTGCTTTCTGGCTGCATCATCTAAAATAATCCAAATCTAGCCACATCATTGTTACTTCTGACCAGCTGAAATAATTATTGTAAACTAATTATGTATTCTGGATCCTGCACCCTTCTGCCTCTTGACATATCCTTAAAAGGGTGGCCAGGGACACGTTGGTAGAAGTAGCTGAGAAGGTGATCATAAACTATCACCCAAGGACTCTTCTACAACTTAAAAATTCCAACAACTCCAGTTTTTTGCATGTGTTGCTTCCTCACAGTTGAATTAATAACTTTGTTTATTATAGTATCATTTTTGAAGGACTGCAGATTAGTAGGACAATCTTCCTGTTGTTATTTGTTTTCTTGAACTTGGATTAAGACCAACAGTGATCTGACAAACTTGATACCAAAAGTAAACTAAGACTAAACTGAGCCCTCCCTAACCCCACTGAAGCATGTGGAGTCGTTCCTGCACTGGCCCACAATTTCAAACAGAAATCACAGATTCACACAGAATCACAGAGTGACTTGGGTTGGTTCAAAGATCATTTGGTTCCATCCCCTGCCATGGGCAGGGACAGATTCCACCAGACCAGGCTGTTCCAAGCTCCATCCAACCTGACCTTGGACACTTCAGGGATGGGACAGCCACAGCTGCTCCGGGCAGCCCATGCCAGGGCCCCAGCACCCTCTGAGTATAGAATCCCAAACTCTGGTCTTTTTTTTTTATTGCTAATTATATTTTCTTTTAAAATTTCTTACTCACCAAAATGAATACATGAAATCAAAATGACAGCAGAGGTAAGGACTCCAGCGACAGCTCGCCACAGCCAGATGTTTGAGAACAGACCTGAAAATATTAAATAAAGGAATTTAAAAAAACCAAACCAAAACAAACAAACCCAAAATAACAAATAAGAACCAGCTGACAGGGGAGTAAAGCCCAGGACACACAAAGCTGTTAAAGAAGAAAAAAAAATTAAAAAGTAGCTCTCTGTGGAGAGCAGGCTGGGAGCAGAAACTTTTAACTCATCTTCACAAGGCTTATCAGCGAACAAGAACTCCGAGTTACTGAAACTTCAGTTACATCATCCAGAATGTAAAGTGATCCAAAGAGAAAGAAACAAACACGGGGATAAAATGACGGTGGACACTAAGAGCCTAAACACGGCGTGGATAAGCGAAATAAGAAAAGCCGTCGGTTCTGGAACCCAAAACCCCTGAGAAATTATCCTTATCCTACAGCCACAGCTTTTTAATCTCATCTTGTTCGCCTGGAATGCTCTGGAAGCATTAACCAGGGCTCTGGAAGCACAGACCGCCCTGTACCCGGCTGTTGGGGCAGTGGTGGGGACGAGGTGTCCGCAGGGGCTCTCCTCTCCCGGCAGTCGCTCCCGCTGCCAACGCGGAGCGTTCCCAGCGGTGCGGCGGCTCCGGGGCAGCATCCCCGACTCCCTATGTCCCGGATCCCCCCCGCATCCCAGCGCGGCGCCTCGATGTCCCCCGGGGGCCCATCACCTTTGGTGCCGCAGCCCGCGGAGCCGCCGCGCTCACCCATGCGCGCGGGGCTGGGGGGCGCGGAGCCGCCCGGCCGCGCTGGAGCCGCTCCCTTCGCTGTGCTCGCTCCCCGCGTTCCCTTCGCTCCCCTCGCTGTGCTCGCTCCCCGCGTTCCCCTCTCTCCCCCCGCTGCCGGCCCCCAGGGGCATGGCCACGGAGCCGCGGGGCTCGCCGGTGCCGAGCGGGGCTCCGAGCCGGGAGCAGTCAGCCCGCAACTCCCGAGAAATAGGAAATGAGGACTCTTTACAAGAAGTCGGCTCCTACAAAATCTCACTAGGATCTTGTAACATCGGCAAATTCCAGGAACTAACACGAAGAGAGAAGGGTTTGGTTTGGTTTTGTCGCGTGGGGAATTTTTGTTTGGGTTTGGTTTTTTTGGGTTTTTTTATGGTTTTGGGGCTTTTTTCCCAATTTTATTTATTTCATATTTATTTATTTTCTTCTTTTGTATGGACGAGGGAGTAAAATCAAGTATGTAAGTGCTGATTACTTAAACTTCTTTGGAAAATCTGGCTAGTGATTCGCTTCACCTAGAAGAACACAAAGCCTGATGATGCTGGCTTGCCTGTGGAGTGAAGGTGCAATAGAAATTTCAGCATTGCTTGGATGACAGGCCCACGCATATCATCCATTTCATTTGTTGGTTTTGCACAATAACTGATGTACTTAGAACAGATCCGGGCTGTGCTGTGTGCTCAAACAGCCTGAGGAACGCAGCTCTCCCCAGTTCATCATGTCATCATGTGAGCTCTCTGTGAGGCTGGTGAGGAACTCAGCAGTGCTTTATCCAAAATAAACATCCTTCTGTACCTGGGCAGGCAACTTCAAACAGAAAACCATGGGAATGGGGGTTACACTTTAAGCTTTCCCTGCAGTTTCCAATTACTTTCATTGTCAAGGATTCTGAGCAGTGGTGAGTTGCTGAAAATCATCACCAGGTATTCCTGTTGACAGCTTATAAATAACCATATAAACGTTATATTTCCATAAGTATAATTTGAATTGCAGTTGCCTTTAGCTTTTACCTGCAGCAGGAGTTCATTTAAGCACTAAACTGGGAGAGCTGGACTGGTCAAAATTCCCAGGAAGACACTGGGGAAGGAAAGATAAAAGGATGTAGAAGAATCCAAAAGATATGTGTGACAAGGCTTAAGGCATGGTGGCTTCAGGGAGGCTAGGGAACTGAGGACCCCCAGGAGAGAGAAGAAGGAATGGGTCCAGAGAGCACAAGCTTGAGATTTTTCCAAAGGTTTTGCAAGACATGAATCCAGAGGAGGAGAGGATGAGAAGGGTGTGCAGAATTAGGGCAGCAGGGAGGTTCAGAACATGCTTGATGCAGAGCACATTTTACATACAAGGAGACAGTGGAATATTGGTTTGTGCACAGCAGGCATTCTAAGAACAGCTTATTCAGCATTTATTAACTCTGAATGAGTGGCTTGGGCTCCTGCTATTCAGTCCTGCCTGTCACTGAGGTCAAAAAAGAGTATTGTGGCTTTTAACCACAGAGCATTCAGGAGTGAAAGCTCTCTTCATGTTCATCCACGAGTACAGAAGGTAATTCTCACAGCTACAGGAGATTCTCCAGGCTGGCAAAAAAAACCCTGAGAAATGCTGTCAACATAGTTGTGAATTATCTGATCCTCTAAAACTACTGTTATTAACCTCAGATGCTTGTAACCGAGACACTCACCTTCACTTTTCCTCATCAGTTTGGCTACAAAGCCTCCTGACAATTCCTGAAATAAATGTTGATAAACATGACAGGAATTTCTTGAAGGCTAAAGGCAGAAATACCCACCGTACTGGAAAAGTTACTTTAAAATACTGGAAAATTACTTTAAAATGTTGCCATGATTTAAGGAGGAAAAACGCAAACATTCTAAGGAAAAAGCATGGCATTTTACAAGAGGGCTCCCATGGGACTGACTTGAAAAGTCAGAGTTGGATCCTGTGCTGCTGCCTCCTGCTACCACAAATAATCTTTGATTAACTTTTGTTACTCACTGATCATAGAATCATAAAATGGTTTGGATTGGAACAGACTTTATCTAATTCCAACCCCTCGACATTGGCAGGAACAACTTCCACTATCCCAGGTTGCTCAGAGCCCCATCCAGCCTGGCCTTGGGCACTGCCAGGGATGGGGCAGCCACAGCTTCTCTGGGCAACCTGTGCCAGGGCCTCACTATGCTCCCAGGGAACAATTTCTTCCTCATATTCTCTAATCCTTCTGAAATAAGATCCTAGGGTCTGACACTGGGATTGTTCTGCTACAGCTTCATGTTCTTACACTGTTCTTTGGGGATTATAAATCAGGGAAAGAACTGCAAATACGTTTCCAAAGCATCTTGATGCAAGCAGTTAGTGAGGAGGATGGTGAGTGTGAGGGACATCAAAATGTGCTTTCAATTTAAAAAGAGAATTTTTTCTTGTAAGATTCTGTTTTCTCTTCCGATGGCCACAACATGCTGATGTACAGATTTTTTGACTGAGCAATTTTTTTTCCAAGAGGTAAAACCAGGCCTTGGATTTCTCAAGGACTTCACAGAGCTTTCTCCATCCTGCAGCTGAAGGAGAAAGCCATAAAAGGCACAAATAAAGGAGGAGTGATTCAGCCTGAAAGAACACTGCAAGAAGGATAATTCTTGGAGTCAAAAAAGGCCCAGGGTCCCAAGAGCCAGGGAAGAAGAGTGGCAGAACTTTGGTGACATTCCATGTTTCCTGATAACAGCTCTGTTTTCCTGGTGCCACCTGTTTCTGCTATTGGATTGAATTTTCTGAGCAGCTAAAGCCCTCAGGCATTATTTCCTCACATGACCAATCTCCAAGGAAAAGAGGGCAGAGCACCATGTTGCCATTCTGTGTGGGTCACTCTCACACTTCTCAGCAGCTCCTTCACAGGTCACTGTGGGTTTCATTTTTCTGTTTTCTGTCCAGATCAGCTTCTCCTGGGACTCTGTTCTCCAGGCCTTGCTGGTCTCTATTCAGTACCCTTCCCCAGCACATCATAAATCTGACATTCCTTCACTTCCCCCACACAGGATTGCGCTGATTCCCATTCTCCCCACAAGCTCAGGGATCCGAGGTGCTCATGGAACAGTCTGGGACAGGGGAAGATTTATATACAACCCCACCTGACCTTATCCTGTCCATCCTGGCAAGGAGTGGGGTTGCCCTTCCCTACAGGATCCCAACCAGAAATCTGTGCTGCCCTTCCCTTGTGGCTGCAGGCAAGGCCAGGCTGTGGCCAGGTGGGGAAAGGTCCCCTTGTGCCCAGGCAGGGCTGGGAACAAAGGGCTGTGGATGGATGTGACTTGCAGAGTCAGGATCAGGCTGGAATCACCCCTGTCCCCAGGCTGGACTCCTCTCCCCTGGCAGTGCCTGCCTGGAAATGCCATCTCTGGCACGAGACAGTCCCAGACTCCTCCTGTGCCAGTGCCAGCTCTTGCAGAGGGGATCCCTCCAGCCTCAGACACCATCAGGGAAAGGCTAGGCTGGGCTGGGCCACCAGTCTGGAGAGAGGCTGCAGGAGAGCCTGGGAGCAGAGACTGGGCAGCTAAAGAGAAATGAGACACATCCCACCCACGGGTCCTACAGGAAGCTGAGCATAACATATCAGCCCGCACCTCTTTATTTAGCTCTCCTTCTGATGCCTTTATGGAATTGTTGCAGCTTTTTCACACATATTTTGTGTTGTTTGGGATCCATCACAAGGTGCAGTATGTACTTCACCAAATCCAATGGCTGTGCAGTGATAGTCCCGGTAAGATCCATTTAGATTAAACCTGATCAGGGGAAAAAAGAAAAATTTGATGACATTACTGACATGCAGTGAAAGGCAGAGTGGCACCTGACCTGGCTGCTAAGATGTGTTTGTGCTACTGGGACCAGGAACTGCCTTGTTGGAATCCCCCTCCCATCCCACATTTTTGTTCCCCACAGCTCCAAAAAAGTTTCTGGGCAATGCTTTCCCATCCAGAAACATTCCCCTGCTTTGGTCCCCTGCACCCAATGGTGCTGACATCACCCTCTCTCTTGTCCCTGCATCCTGTCTGCTTCCTTTCCCCAGGAACTGCATCCAGCCAGATCCTTCCTTCCCCAGCAGAGCTACAGCTGTGTCCTCTCCTGCCATCCTTCCAGGACAGCCCCGTGCTCCCTGGCCTGAAAGGCTCCCTTTCCTTGGCACAGGCATGTGCTGAAGCACCTGCATCCCGAGGAATCCCCTTCCCCCAAACCACAGTCCTGGATCTCCCTTGGGCTCTCTGCTCTTTGCTCTGCCTTTGGGATTTTCCTCTCCCAGACATTGCATGGCAGGGACTTGCTGGAATGAGCTCACATGGCTGGGTTGAGTTCCACGTTGTTGATCCACTTCCACTTCTGCCCCTCTTCAGGGCGTGTGAGCCCAAGTAAGTAGTAGTTATATCTTGATTGGGAGTGAAGGTAGCTCTGGAAAGGAAGCCAACAATGGGGATTCGTGAAAATGACATTTTCTCCACCAGAGGCACAGAGGGCTCAGTGCTGCACAGGCAGCACAGAGAGTGCAGTGTGCCCCCAGCCACAGCACCTCTGCTCACAGCTCCACAGGATGAATTTCTCCATTTCTATTGAAGGTCATCACCCTTTTGAATGCCCCTTATGACTGTAATAAATGTAATAATACACCGGTGCCATTACAGCTGTACATTGCAGTCAGACAGGTGTGACTTGATACCCGGGGACACTTTTCCCTTCTGATGGGGCTGGCAAAGCCTTCTCAGGTTTTGTCACAGCCATGGCTCTCACAAAGAAGTGTCTGTTCAACCTCCCTGGCCTGTGAACTAAATCCCTGCAAAACCCCAGCCAGCTGGGCAGGGAGTTTTCTCCTTGCCATGGGATCAGGCCTGGGCACAGAAGGACTCCAAGCCCCAGGAAGCCTCTCCCTGTGCAGGGCTTTGCTCCCACTGCCAGGGCTGGCGTGTCCATGGCTCGCAGCAGGTCCAGAGCCCAAGGACATGTGACAGGAGGTGGCACAAGTGTCACTGCTCAGCCCTTGGCCAGGCAGCTCCAGCCCCCCGAGCAGCTGCCCCAGGAGTTGGATCTCACCAGCTCTTCCCTGCTGTCAATGACCACCAGGTCTGAGCCCATAGCAGTGCATTCTGCACGAGAGGCATTCCAGCTCTTTGGTTTTGCCTCTGGAGAAAAGAAGTAGCAATTTCTCCCATGTTTCTCCCATCGTGGGTGGCAGCCTGCAGAAGGGAAGAAGAGGTGTGGAAAATCCATGTTCATACTAACCAAAGGATGCCATGATAACAGAGAGGTGAGAGAGGCAGTTCCAGCCCCAGAAATGCCTGTGTGCTCCTGCTGGGAATTGTCACCAGTGCACCAGGGACTCCCACAGCCTCTGGAGCTGACAGCAGCCCAGAATCACCAGGCAGGGAGCAGCACAGCAAACATGATCCAGCCTTTCCCATCTTTGCTCAGCAGATCCTAAACAGCCACAGGGGATTGCACTGAGTCGAAAGGCTGGTAATGGAGGGCCTTGGAAAAGCAGTTGAAGCCTATTGTGCATCCTGCTCTCAGCAGTGCTGTGCTTCCAGAGGGATTGTTCCTCCAGTGCCTTCCAGAGCTCATCCTGGGGGTGTCCAGGATAAGGTTTGTATTCCTGAGATGGGAGGGGTGTTCTTTCTTTGTGTCCCTTCTGAACAAAACCCAGTCACACAGCTTCCCCTGTCCCCTTCACAGTCAATGCCACAGGCTTCTGGAAACTCCCTCTGCAATGACAGAGGATTACCCACCTAGTGCCTCTTCAGGGATGGTTCTTGTTGAGTCCTCTTGGCTGCCTGCAGTTGGACCATCTGGAAATAAGAACACGATTTCTGCTTGCAAGGAATGGTCACTGTGCCATGCACTGTCAGAGCTCTGCTGCACCTCACTGAGCCCCTTCACCCAACACAGAATGCAAACTCTGCTCATGAGAGTACTATAAAAATCATTAAATAGCTAGGTGATGTTCCACTGAGTAAAGGGCAACACTTTAGTCCATTTAAACAAGTTGTATCTTAATAACATTGGATTTGTTAATAACAAGACCTATTGGAATATTCATACAAAACTAAAACTTAGCATAAACTCATAAAGCAACAGTTTTTATTTGGAGAACACGTGAAACCTGTGTGCTCTTGAACTTAAGAACTGCCTTGATTTAATTTCTCAAGTTTGATCTTGATCTCAAGTTTCTTAGGCGTATTTTTTCAGGTCTGCAGCTGTTCTGAGCCAATACTGAGACCCACAAAAGAACTATAACTGAAGCCAGACCTGGATCTAAGTCTAAGGACTCCTCTTTCAATGTTAGATCCTTTTATTTTCTGTTGGTTTATTATTTGTTTTTCATTTGCCCCACCCTTTGCTGTTGGATGTTTATAAATGTCAGAGCACTGTCAGATATCAATCCTGAACTCTTTGCCTTAAAAAAGCAGAATGACTTGCCTCCCCCAGCCCTATTCTTTAAGTTCCAAGGATCAAAGACTTTGCCATGCCTTCCACATGTGCATTTCTGAGCAGGTGGCAAACTCTGGGACTTGAGAGTTATTGGTGGTGGAAGCTTCTCAGGCTTTCTCAGCTATCAAAGGATGGAAAGAAACAAAAAAATCCACCTGAAATATTAAAATGGTTCTTTAAAAATTTTAAAGGAAATACCAATTGGGTCTATTATTTTTTTCTGATGAAAATAAGATATTTTTTTACTACAAAATATCATTTATCAGTTTATGTAGCTCAAATTTGTTATGATCTTAAGCAAACTCCTGTAAGATGTGATTTAGTTGCCTCCTTCAAATGAACTCTAATTCGTAATTATTTTAAGATTTGTGGTGTTATGGACATCTTGGTCTCATGCTACAACCTCATCAGCTTGTGGGATTCTCACAGATAGCAATTGTATTACTGGTAGGCATTATCGAATCATCACTTGTTTCATCAAATCATGTGTATAATAAATTCTTTGTCATTTGAATGTTGTCGGTTTTTCATTGGGATTTTGGCTATTTTATCTCTTTAAATTTCCAACTTTCAAACCATTCAACTCTCTTACAGATTTCCTCTTATAGCTATGATTGGCTAAAAACTGCTGTCCTTTGCCTTCAAACCAAACTTCCATTCCTACTGGCTTTATATGTCATGCCCTGTACCTCAGACCATGGGAGAGAGACACAAATTAATTGCTGTTATGACACTAACAAAAGAACTTACATGTGATTATTAAATATACTGCCAGGACCAGTACGAGGATTATCACCACCAATATAGCAGCATGTTTTCTGGAACAACGGCTTTTACCTACAGAAGGATAGAAAAATAAACATTAGGGGAGCAGCTGGACAGAAGCACCTTTGCCCTGCATTCCAAGGTGCGCTTTCCAGGCTCCCACTGGGAATCTGGGACCTTCCAGATCTGCAGGCTGGAGCCAGGCTCAGTGTCCTGGTGTTTCCCTGCTGGCTCTGGTCACCTGCACCCAAGGAACTGAACAGATGCCAACCTGCCATGGGTTTGAGGAGAGCTGAAAAGGAGGAGAGTCCTCACAATCAGTGCCTGCCCTGTGCTTCCTCATCTCCTTTGCTCACTTCCCAGTGCTGCGGGGGACAGGAGCCTGGGCTCGGGACTGTCTGGGTGTGGCCCATCACATCCTTCTATTCCTCTGCCAGGAAAGCCAACAAGTGTTTAGTGGCACAGAATGCAACACCTCAGCTGCTCCTGCTCTGAGTGTGGAAAGCAGACAATTGTATCCTCCTGCCTCCTCATGGTTTTGTGTCACTGCATGTTTGGGGCATCAGGATCAGCCCCTCTCCCCTTCTTGTTTGAATTCTCATCACTTTAACAGACAATTAAACTCACCTGATGATTTGCAGTTTGCTGCAGCATTTGTCTCTTGGGATTTCACTTTCACTTCTGCATAGGTACAACTTGAGCCTGGGACCAAGAAGAGAGCACAGAGAGATCTGAGAATCAACTTAAATGAAACAAAAATTACTGAAATGGTGAGAAATGCTGAACAAAGGACAGCAGCTGGTTGATGTGACTGTGGTTAACTATGCACAAATTGTATTTTTCTCCATTATAGGCACTGATCTCAGCTCTGTGGTGACCAGGAAGAGGACCCAAGGGAAGAGCTGGAGCTGTGTCAGGACAGGGTCAGGCTGGATATCAGGAAAAGGTTCTTCCCCCAGAGGGTGCTCAGGCACTGAACAGGCTCCCCAGGGAATGGTCACAGCCCCAGGGCTGCCAGAGCTCAAGGAGCGTATGGACAGCGCTCTCAGGGATGCACAGGGTGGGATTATTGGGGTGTCTGTGCAGGGCGACGAGTTGGACTGGATGATCTTTGTGGGTCCCTTCCAGCTCAGGATATTCTATGTTCCATGATGACACTTTCACCCTTGCAGCACTTGCTAGAGGCAGGAAGAAAATTGGTTTCTCTCCAAGACAGACAACACCAGAGGGTACAGGGGCATATAAACACATTGTCAGTCTTGACAAAAGGGAAGAAATGTGCCAAGGGTGGCCTAAGGAGGTTCACCCAGACAGGAGTGGTGAGAATGACTAAAACATCAAAGCCTGAAAACTGCAGATTATGCTAAATTTGGAGTGGTTTGAGATTTTATCAAAAATTAACACGATAACGTGGAGAAAATAACGTGGTGAATTCTATTATATCATCTGCAGGTAATAAATACAAAACAGCAGGAAAGAAAACATATGGAGAGGAAAGCAAGGTCAGAGGGAGATAAAAAGTGGGTAGAAAGTAAAAAATAGGACGTTGTAATGTTATAAATCTCTCAAAGTCATCAGGATATACAACACTGAGCCTTCTGGGTTCTATCTCCGTACACAGCTAAGATAGAAGTCAGGGTTTTGAGCTCTTCTCAGAAGATGGTGATGATATCTGGGAAATCTTGTGCATAAATTCAGTGAACACCATAGAAGAGTGGATAGGAGCTTTCCAGAAAGAAAACACTCAAATGTTACTAGAAATTGATCAAAATTTTGAATAGGAATACAAGGGTAAAATTCTAAGGAATATGGAACTTGCAATCAGGTGGCATCTGTTGTGGTCAATTAGGCCCTGAATTCATCTGTTGAAAGGGATTGTAAAACCCTGTTTCCTGGTGTTAATAACTCCACCCATCCGAAAAGACGTGCAGAGGGTTCACACATTGTGCTAAAGACAAGAATTAGATGGCAATAAATAATTTCTGCCAGAATGAAAGCAGGGGATAGAAAGAAAGGAAAGAAAAATGAAAATTAAATACAGAGAAACACTCTATAAAGTCTGCTAATTTTTAGGATCTAATTTCATGGCAGATATTGCAGACAGATATGCAATCACTTTAAACTCATTAAAGAAAGATAAATCCTCAGTTAGAAGTTTGCAAAGTGCTTAATCCTAAATAAGACTAAACCTGTCTATAAACCATTTCCCACCTGTGCATTTAACAAGCAGTTTGGACAGCCAGAGCAGGAGGAGAAGCCCCCAGGCAGTGGTGCTGTGCTCAGGAAGCAGGAACAGCTGTGCAAGAGACTGCTGTGAACACCAGCAACAGCAGCCACTCCATCCGGAGCAGTTTGCTGCAGGAATCTCAGCCTGCTGGGGGACAACTGGCCAGGGCCAGGAGCAATGGATGTTCAGCTCTGGAATGCTCTCCAAAATGGACAAAAATGACTCTTAATATCACAGCACAGACACTGCCTCACACTTGCACCTCAGCAAGAGAAAAGTAGATCTTACAACAACTTGCCTTTGTAAATACAAACAAAAACAAAACCCTCTCTGGACACTCCACCTGCAGTTTTCCAGCACTGGCCCTCATGTTTCCCTTGTGCTCTTTGGGACTTTGGAGCTCCAAGGACCTCTCTCAACAGATGTGTGTGGGAGAGAGACTGGAGAATTCAAAGAAAGCTCAGTGCTCAGCACTGGACCTACCTTGGACATCTGAGACCGTCAGGATTCTGGGTCTCGTTGGTTCAGGTAAGTTCAAGTCAGCATAGAGGACGTTTTCTGCCATTTTTGTTCCACTCTCTTCTTTCCTCCCTTGGCTGTTCTGTCAGTGGCACTCTGGGCTGGGAACAACTCAGAGGTCCCTCCCCTCTCTAACCTTCAGGAGGAAGTTCATGACTCTTCTGGTCACACATCAACTTCTAGTGAAAAGAGAAGTTTATTTCTGCTTAATCTTTTGATGGCACAGGGTTTTATGTCAGTACCATGAGGAAATATACGTTGATGGGCTCCCTGAGGTCACCTGTCTTGGGAAGTGGTTCAGCTATTGGAAGTGTCTTGAATTCCCATTGCTTCACCCCCCCCCACCCACAAAACACTTTGTCCTGCTGTGTCTTGAGCATTGTGGGCTCTGTGCAGCTCACAGACATTGTCTGCTTCTCTACAAGGGAATTTGAGAGGCAAAATGGGGATCAGAACAGGGGATTTGTCCAGTCTGTTTTGGGAAGCCCAAAAGGTGCTTAATATACAAAAGCAGCCCCAGGAATAGTGCAGCCTAAACAAAACAATCCCTTGGCTTTTTAAGTTTGTAATATCCCTCTGGGCAGTTGGGGTCATCTGTGTCCCCTCTCAACTCCTTGTGCACCCCTAGCCCCCTCAGTGGTGGGATGGGATGACAAACAGAGGACTCTCACTCTCTTTAATCTCTGCTCGGCAAAAACTAAAGCATCCCCGTGTTCTCAGCACTGTTCCAGCACAAGTCCAAAATATAGTCCATACCAGCTGATAAAAAGGAATTTAACTCTATCCCAGCCAAAACCAGCCCAGGGCCCTAGAATTTAAGAAGGATGTGAAGGTCCTTTAATGGAGGCTCAGACGAAGGGAACAAAGCTGGTGAAAGTGTTGGAAGGAATGTCCTGTGAGGAGAAGCTGAGAATTCCATGGTTTCTTAAGTTTGGAGAAAAAAAAAAAAAGGCTGAGGCTCTTTTCTCTCTGGAGTCCCAGCACAGGAACAACATGAAACAGTTGGAGAGAGTCCAGATGAGGCCGACAAAGTGTTGAGAAGCTAGTGAACTTTTGCCAGGAAGAAAGTCTGAGAGAATGAGATATTTTAGTCTGGAGAGCAAAAGCTTTGGGGTGACCTGATTGTGGCCTTCTGGGGCCTGAAGGGAGCTACAAGAAAGATGGAGAGAGACTCTTGACAGGGGCCTGGAGTGCCTGACAAGAGGAAACAGCTTCACACTGACAGTGAGTGGGTTTAAATTGGATATTAGGAAGAAATTCTTCTCTGAGAGGCTGGTGAGGCCCTGGTACAGATTCCCCAGCTGTGGCTGCCCTATGCCTGAAAGTGTCCAAGGTCAGGTTGGATGGAACTCTGAGCAACCTGGGATAGTGGAAAGTGTCCCTATCCATGACAGAGAAAGTGAAATGAGATGATCTTAAGGTCCCTTCCAACCCAAACCATTCTGTATATTATTGTAATTCTAGAAATATAACACATGGCTTTTCTGATTTCAAACTATAAGACAAAGTTGAATGTTTTTAAATAAAATAAATACCAATTCTGATTGAACCTATTTCTTCCACAGAAAGACAATTTTGTGTTATGGATATATTCTCTCAGAGCCATCAGATCTGGAACACCACAGAGGCTTCTTCAAAGAGCCAGGGGTGTGTTCTGGCATACTCCCCGGGTGGTGGGTTTGAGCCCGGCTCGAACAGGGGGATAGTCCCCTTGCCCTGGGTTCCCACAGTATACTGTGCCTCATGTCCCATAATCAGAGGCCCAGAGAAGCCAAGCAAACACCAACTGTGTGTGAGAAAGAAGAGGAAGTGAAGCAGTTTCTGTGGTGGTTGATGACTCAGAAGTTCAAATGAAGGTTTGCAGTGGCCCTCAGACCTGACAGAGAGATATGTCCAGAAATTCTGTGACAGGATGAAGTACTGAGGTCTAAACAACAGACCCTGACTGAAGCATGAACAACAGGCCCTGAGCTAAAGTTGCCTCTAGATGAATCTTCCAACCAAATGTTATATATATAAATTCAATCATTAATGAACTATTGTTATATGTGTTTGTTTATTGGCAAAACATGTGTTTATGTTTCCATATCCAGAAGCTGGATAAGGCCACATCTGGCCTAATTAGGGGGGTACACAATCAAAGACAAGTCCCTTGGTTCCTCATTGAGCCCTGTCCAGACTTTGGGAGAAATCCAATAGGGGAATGAAACTAGAAATTATGTCAGCTTGTTTGTTTAGGAATATAAAAAATGGACCACTGTCACAACAAAGTTGGGAAGCCATTCCACATCTCCACAAAGCTGGAATGGGTTGGAAAGAATCTTAAAGTTCATCTTGTTCCAAACCCTTGCCATGGGCAGGGACACCTTCCACTATCCCAGATTGCTCAGAGCCCCATCTACCTGGCCTTGGATACTTCCAGGCATGGGGCAGACACAGCTTCTCTGGGCAACCCAAAGTATTCTGTGACTTTTCAGCTCCACCAAGTCTTAATTTTTTTTTTTCATTCAGATTTTTCCTTCCTATTAGGGAATTACATTGCTAATTTGAGTGTAGGAAACATCCATTGAGTTCAATCAACTTTTTTTCTGTTTTTATTGCTGGTTTTCTGGAGTGACAAGCACATGATAGCATCAATCCCACAAATTTTGCCATAAAAATAGTGCCCCTCCCTCCTGTGGAATATTGCCTACACTGATTAGCAGGTTGTGCTGCATCTTGAGGGAGTGCTGACTGTGTGGGCCGGTGCTGTTTGACGAAGGAAGGTGCAATACCCCACTGAGTTGATGCTTTTGAACTCCATTTGACAAGGATGGTGCAAATATCATGGGGGGGAAGTTAAAACAGGGCTCCAGCTCCCCTTGTAAATCCTTTTATGTGATACTGAGATGCTGCATAACTTAATACTGGAGATAGCACACAGGGTAGTTTGTATTGTATTTCTTAGCACTTAGCCACACTTTTCAGCATTTAAATGTATACTTATTATGTGTCTGTGGTATTGTGTATTTCCCACAAAACTATGATGGGGAGTGGTAAATATCTTCAATAATTTAAAGATATTTTAATGTGTGTCTATATGGATGGGACAATGGGCCTGCATGTCTGTGTTAATAATGAGATGTCTGTGTTAATAATTCTGCTGTAATTCATTAGCACCTAATGAATTTGGTTTCGTAAACTCTAGCTAAGGACATGGGCAACATCTGACAGCATTTTCCTAACAGATAACCCCTCACACTCCCACTTCACTCCTACTCTTGCCAGCTCTACTTCCATGTTTCCAAGAAGAGTCATGTCCATCTTTCAGCCTCTGCAATCCCAAACTCAGTGTGGCCATGACCAAGAAAGACAGAAGAAGGGGAGATTTTAAACATACCAGTATAATACTTACATTGTGCAGCCCCAGGTCAGAGGTGAAGAATCTTCTGGGGTCAGTTGAGTCCACTGCGTCTCTGTACCTCATCAAGAAAACAGATTTGGTAAATATTTCATTACAATATCCAAATTCAAAGAGAAGTAGTTTGCGAATCAGCTATTCTGAAATAGATGAAATATTTAAATATACATTATGGACAAAGAATGGAGTAAACATTTGGAAGAACAACCCTCCTTTGTGAAAGCAAGCCTTTGGGCTGGCTTTTCACCCCTTGACAATACTCGGATAATGACTTTTTTTGGTTGTAGTAAAAAGGAAAATTAAAACAAAAACCAAGGATGTGAGAGAGAGAGGCTTAGAAAGAAGATTTCAAATAGAAAAACCTCACTTAAATTCCACTTACAGTAACTAGGATGTCTATCCCTCAAACTATCTGTTCCTTGGGTTCAGTGGATGTACTTGACAGCTGAGCAAATGTGGATTTTTCTGGATTTAATGTGCTTGCTTACTGTATCCAGACCTAAAATAATTGGGAGATATTTTCTGATATGTAAGATTTGAAAGATTTTCTCATATGTAAGATTTGAAAAAACCTGTAACTTTTCTGGGACCAAAATTATTTTCTAATATAAACAAAGAGTTTCTGCTGCCAAGGAGGAAAAAATAATCGTTAACATTAAATATATTTTCTGAAAATAATTGAATGTTTAATACTTTTGAAAGCAAACATTTCAATTTTTCCTTTCAGAATGTTATTTTAGGCGAAATTAAATGCTTTGGGCTTACCCCAAATCACTTTCTAGATATCATTACTAAACCAATAAGAACAAGTGTTTCTTCTGTTTTTTCCTGCAGTAATTCAGAGCCAAAAGGTCTCTGTCTGGGTAACAATCAAAAAAAGATATAAAAAGTGCTTTTGACAAGAATCACTTTGCAATCAGCTGATGACCATAAGGAAGGCTGGCTACCTCACTCCCTCCAAAGTTTACCCATTTTTAGACAAACATTGTGACATATTTTGTGCAACATATATTTTACTGTTATGTGAAAGAGGAACTGAAAACAGCTGAGCAGAGCAAAACTACTGAAACTGGCAAACTGGTATAAATTCTTTCTCTCTGTATCTGGGTAAAATAAAGCTGCCAATTTCTCTTTTATACTTAAAATAAAACAAAACAACAGCCTGGTTTTTATTTAGCAGCCTTGGTGGCATTTTTCTCTCTCTAAACTCCAGCTGCTTTAACATCAGACATCTGTACTTAGTGGTTTCCTGACAGTGGAAAAACATTTCCCAGGGATGTCCTATCCTATGCCTGACATATTTAAGTGTGCCGAGGCCTCATCACCCTCACAGGGAAAAATTTCTTCCTCAAATCCATCTAAACCTGCTCTCTGTCAGTGTGAAGCCATTCCCTTATCCTCTCACTCCTGGCCCTTGGCAAGAGTCTCCATTTTTCCTGTGGGTTCCCTTCAGGCACTGCAAGGCCACAATGAGGTCACCCCAAAGCCTTTTCTTCTCCAGGCTGAACAATCCCAGTTCCCTCAGCCTTTCCAGGCTGAAGATTCCCAATCCTCTTAGCCTTTCAATATACCTTTTTTTCCAACATACTTGGAGCATGACCCTTGGCAAAGGAGAATGAAGAGGATATCTTTTCAACTTACAGAGAAGCAGATGCTGCCATTTCAGAAGGCACCTCCTGTCACAATGTCAGATCCAGGCAGCTCTCCATGAATCTACAGTGTGGATGAGGCAGTGTGGATGTGCAGCTCAACCCCATCAGCTCCTGTTCCTCATGGTCCTAGCAGAGGTGGAACATGCTAGAAGAATCCAGGAAGGTGGGGAAACACAGCAGTGGAGATGCAAGCTGGCCAGAACAGAGGCAAGAGAGGAACAAGAGGAAGAGCATTCTCTTGATTCCTGAAAAGATCACCATCATCTCTGCAGTCTCTGAGTCTTGCTGGTACCTTGGGTAGCTAGGAGAAACCCAGTTTATAATGGAAGTGCCCAAGGCTGGGCTGGTTGCCAGGAAGGAGGGATGGAACCCAACTGTTCTATATTCAATTTAAAATGTAGGAAAGACCAACACTTTACATAACATGCCCTGGCACCTTGCCTGAGTGAAACTGTACTAAGCCATCTCATATACATCTTTGAACATTTTTAGCACCTTTTTTGCCCTACAGAACCAAAACAAGGCAGCCAAGTGCTTACCTCCTACTCAGTACTCCTCAGGGTGGGTGAATGTTGGCTCTCCTCACCAAGGAAAAGGGGCTCTTCTGATGAACTTGTCTTGCCATTGCAGATTCTAAAATGAATCCTGATTGTGCCACTGTGGTGGGATGGTTATGGACAAGTTTGTAGGAAAGAAGCCAAGTCTTAATGCCAGGGCTTATCAGAGGAAGCTGTTGTGGCACATGGAAAGGGCTCCTGTGATAGCAATCTGGAAGAGCAGAATAAGAAAAATGCCTCTGCTCCATGTAGTATACCTTGGTGGGAGTGAGTCAATGGAGAATAGTGCATCATCTCTTGTGCTGCCTGAGGCCTTTCAGTGTAATGACATAAAAACAATAACCCTCAGCAGGTTTCTCACCAGTTCTGCCAGGAATTGCCTTGTCCATCGCCTCCAATTTGCCCAATTGCATAATCCACTACAAAACTTATCCCAGATCTGTGGATTCTGGAGGATATGGTAGTTTATTCCTATTAACTTGCAGGGAAAATGCAGAAAAGCCATTTGTGTTATTTTTCTGGGGCAAGTGTTGGAAGAACAGATGAACAATAGAGAAGGAAAGTTACCTATCTGATCCTCAGGCACAGGGTTTAAAGAGATCAAATTGCATACAGATTGCTTGAATCCCAGGTCATGTTGTTGACAATCCTGCTTTAGACAGCAAGTATATTTATGACTTCTTATTTCAGTTCTCTAATCAAATGCTGACACTTTTCATACTGTCTGCTCCAGAGGCCCAAGACTCTGGTTTTGGGGGGAGCCAGGGCTGAGGGATACAGTAATGCAAATTGAGTATTTGGAGGTTAGCACAGCACAGGGATATCAAAACTGAGAGACTTTGGCCTGTCTGGAGGATGAACCAAAGACAGAACTAATCATGAAGTGGGGAGGGAAAAAGGCAAGTGGATCTGCATCTTGCAGAGCTGCCTATGGGTGACTTGTTCTCCACTTTTAGGCAGAAAATCCCTTCCTCACATGGAGAAGAGTGTGAGATTGGAGGATGCAACTGAGACACCGCTGGAATGTGCAACTCTCCTGCAATTACAAGAAGAAGTAGTTTGGCTGTGTGACAAGGATTAGAGTTGCCTGGTCTCTTGGGTGGAACAGGATGTGGTGGTGTTTGCATGGCACTGCTGAGAGGCGTGGGAGAGATGTGCAGGAGCAGGAAGATACCACAGATTGGCAGTGAAAAGCATGCCAAGGAAGATTTTAAAATTATAGATGACCTGAGAAGAGGGAGGAAGATAAAATCTGCTTCCTGTAGAAAACTAAATGCTCTTACAGGAGCCAAGTGTGAAAAGAAAGAGGAGAGTCAGAATCACAGGATGCAATGGCACCTCTGAGTATCTGCCTCAGGCAACAGACAGAGACAGACAGGAGAGGAAAGCAGTGAAGTTCCACTCAGTTTTCTCTCTGGGGATTATAATGACGTGCAACAAACTCAGAAGGTGAGGAGGAAGGAAAATGCTATGCCCAGTACTCTCAAAACAGCCCTGATTGTTCCACTGCTGAAATCCTTTGCTGGCAGCACACATATCCCTGACTCACAGACAACTTCCACCCCACACCTCCCCAGCTCAGCAACTCCCTGTTGCAGTGCAGGAAGAAGCAGAGTACTGTTATATAGAGCCAATTGAAGTAATGTCAATATAATTTCACAGTATTTGCATCCTGGTGAGGTTATTTAACACCTCTGGTCTTTTCGGACAAATTTTAACAAAAAATTCAACTTAAAAAGAAATTGGGTTTAAAAATGCCTGAAGGCTGATACCCAAATGGGTATTTAACAGAGTGGTAACTTGAA